CAAGCAAAATTCCAACTTCAACACTAAATGTTATGGGATCGCAAAGGATCGGACATACTATTTGTATGAATAGAGAATACTTTCACTCTCGAAGTCGACTTGATCCTTTGCTGTCGATATAAATGTCGATTGAAAGGATGACAAAGAATTGCACTTAAAACTTAATTTATTGCAAAATAAATGTTTTTATGGTCACTTACAAGCTTGATGGTGGGTTCCATTAGGTCTTTAGTCATAGGTCTAAATATATTGGGTTCGAAAAAGCCGTACTAGTAAGTACACTAAGGTTATCGTTATGAGTAAGTACAATGTGATAATTGATGCGGATTAAGTCCGCCATTTTAGAAGAAGAAATAATTCATAACAATTTTCAATAAATTGCTTTTATACACGGTACTTATACTTTGTTTGATCGCTCATTAGTCCAGGAAGGTTACAACTTATCCGGCAATAGCTAACACTGTAGGAATGTTTGCCACAGTTTGGTATTTTGACTGTCTTTGTTTTCACATTTTTGTAAACAAAGGAATCTGTGTCTACAGTACGTTTTGCGATTGGATTACTGCATAATGTGTATAAAAACACCGGTGGATGATTAACTCTTCAATTTTATGTTAGTAAAATGTCTATACTAATATTAGGAACATCTCATATACACTGGTTGGAACGATTTCTTCGACAAAAGGGTAACAATAACAAATCTTTAACGTTGGTGGCGATGCTAGCCCGGCCCCAGATGTACATTTTCGAAGTATAAATGGAGGAAAGATTTACAATAAACACCACGTTAACTGTTGAGAACTGAGTGTATCAGAACTGCATCCAAAATGCTTTATCGTACAATTAGGTGGAAACGATATTGTTTCACTAGTGCATCACTGGAACTTCTTGTTTTTGTGAATAGTCAACATTTTCGCAACATTTCAAGTTCGATACAACATTGTGGTGTTGCAGTTTATTCTCAGACCTAGGCCACGTTATTTATACCAGAGATACAGGAGATACAGTTGTTTAGGCAGTAGCGGATTTTAGGGTATAGCGGATAACATGCCAATATTCCGGATCGACTACATAATAAGTACATACCAACAAGTGAAAAGTGAAATTTCCTGGATCTCAAGTGAAGAAGACAATTATTTACCTTACATCTTAGTCCCAAAGTGAACTTGGGACTGATATGAATTGTGGTTTAATGTGATAGTTATATATTATCAAATTATTGTAAGGACTATGTTTGCACATTTACTTGAAAATTGCTAGTGAAATATTTTTTTTTTTTATACATAATGTTCTTGCATCCATTATTGTTATTATACATTTATGAATTTAAATAGTTAGGAGGTAATAATGCCTTAATTTTAAGGTGGTTTATTCGACTTTAGTTGTAAAGTCCCTAAGAATTAGCAGTTTGTTAAAGTCCTTAATTGTAGGGAATACTTTAGTTAAATGTGCCTTAGTTGTAAGGTAATTGTTTAATGCTAAAATATTATTTTAGTAAAATACGCCTTAATTTTAAGGTGGTTTATTCGACTTAAGTCGTAAAGTCCCTAAGAATTAGCAGTTTGTTACAGTCCTGAATTGTAAGGAATACTTTAGTTAAATGTGCCTTAGTTGTAAGGTAATTGTTTAATGCTAAATATTATTTTAGTAAAATACGCCTTAATTTTAAGGTGGTTTATTCGACTTTAGTCGTAAAGTCCCTAAGAATTAGCAGTTTGTTAAAGTCCTTAATTGTAAGGAATACTTTAGTTAAATGTGCCTTAGTTGTAAGGTAATTGTTTAATGCTAAATATTATTTTAGTAAAATACGCCTTAATTTTAAGGTGGTTTATTCGACTTTAGTCGTAAAGTCCCTAAGAATTAGCAGTTTGCTAAAGTCCTTAATTGTAAGGAATACTTTAGTTAAATGTGCCTTAGTTGTAAGGTAATTGTTTAATGCTAAATATTATTTTAGTAAAATACGCCTTAATTTTAAGGTGGTTTATTCGACTTTAGTCTTAAAGTCCCTAAGAATTAGCAGTTTGCTAAAGTCCTTAATTGTAAGGAATACTTTAGTTGAATGTGCCTTAGTTGTAAGGTAATTGTTTAATGCTAAATATTATTTTAGTAAAATAAGCCTTAATTTTAAGGTGGTTTATTGGACTGTAGTTGTAAAGTCCCTAAGAATTAGCAGTTTGCTAAAGTCCTTAATTGTAAGGAATACTTTAGTTAAATGTGCCTTAATTGTAAGGTAATTGTTTAATGCTAAATATTATTTTAGTAAAATACGCCTTAATTTTAAGGTGGTTTATTGGACTTTAGTTGTAAAGTCCCTAAGAATTAGCAGTTTGCTAAAGTCCTTAATTGTAAGGAATACTTTAGTTAAATGTGCCTTAATTGTAAGGTAATTGTTTACTGCTAAATATTATTTTAGTAAAATACACCTTAATTTTAAGGTGGTTTATTCGACTTTAGTTGTAAAGTCCCTAAGAATTAGCAGTTTGCTAAAGTCCTTAATTGTAAGGAATACTTTAGTTGAATGTGCCTTAATTGTAAGGTAATTGTTTACTGCTAAATATTATTTTAGTAAAATACGCCTTAATTTTAAGGTGGTTTATTGGACTTTAGTCGTAAAGTCCCTAAGAATTAGCAGTTTGCTAAAGTCCTTAATTGTAAGGAATACTTTAGTTAAATGTGCCTTAATTGTAAGGTAATTGTTTACTGCTAAATATTATTTTAGTAAAATACACCTTAATTTTAAGGTGGTTTATTCGACTTTAGTTGTAAAGTCCCTAAGAATTAGCAGTTTGCTAAAGTCCTTAATTGTAAGGAATACTTTAGTTAAATGTGCCTTAATTGTAAGGTAATTGTTTACTGCTAAATATTATTTTAGTAAAATACGCCTTAATTTTAAGGTGGTTTATTGGACTTTAGTCGTAAAGTCCCTAAGAATTAGCAGTTTGCTAAAGTCCTTAATTGTAAGGAATACTTTAGTTAAATGTATCTTAATTGTAAGGTAATTGTTTACTGCTAAATATTATTTTAGTAAAATACGCCTTAATTTTAAGGTGAATTATTCGACTTTAGTTGTAAAGTCCCTAAGAATTAGCAGTTTGCTAAAGTCCTTAATTGTAAGGAATACTTTAGTTAAATGTGCCTTAATTGTAAGGTAATTGTTTACTGCTAAATATTATTTTAGTAAAATACGCCTTAATTTTAAGGTGGTTTATTGGACTTTAGTCGTAAAGTCCCTAAGAATTAGCAGTTTGTTAAAGTCCTTAATTGTAGGGAATACTTTAGTTAAATGTGCCTTAGTTGTAAGGTAATTGTTTAATGCTAAAATATTATTTTAGTAAAATACGCCTTAATTTTAAGGTGGTTTATTCGACTTAAGTCGTAAAGTCCCTAAGAATTAGCAGTTTGTTACAGTCCTGAATTGTAAGGAATACTTTAGTTAAATGTGCCTTAGTTGTAAGGTAATTGTTTAATGCTAAATATTATTTTAGTAAAATACGCCTTAATTTTAAGGTGGTTTATTCGACTTTACTCGTAAAGTCCCTAAGAATTAGCAGTTTGTTAAAGTCCTTAATTGTAAGGAATACTTTAGTTAAATGTGCCTTAGTTGTAAGGTAATTGTTTAATGCTAAATATTATTTTAGTAAAATACGCCTTAATTTTAAGGTGGTTTATTCGACTTTAGTCGTAAAGTCCCTAAGAATTAGCAGTTTGCTAAAGTCCTTAATTGTAATGGAATACTTTAGTTAAATGTGCCTTAGTTGTAAGGTAATTGTTTAATGCTAAATATTATTTTAGTAAAATACGCCTTAATTTTAAGGTGGTTTATTCGACTTTAGTCTTAAAGTCCCTAAGAATTAGCAGTTTGCTAAAGTCCTTAATTGTAAGGAATACTTTAGTTGAATGTGCCTTAGTTGTAAGGTAATTGTTTAATGCTAAATATTATTTTAGTAAAATAAGCCTTAATTTTAAGGTGGTTTATTGGACTTTAGTTGTAAAGTCCCTAAGAATTAGCAGTTTGCTAAAGTCCTTAATTGTAAGGAATACTTTAGTTAAATGTGCCTTAATTGTAAGGTAATTGTTTAATGCTAAATATTATTTTAGTAAAATACGCCTTAATTTTAAGGTGGTTTATTGGACTTTAGTTGTAAAGTCCCTAAGAATTAGCAGTTTGCTAAAGTCCTTAATTGTAAGGAATACTTTAGTTAAATGTGCCTTAATTGTAAGGTAATTGTTTACTGCTAAATATTATTTTAGTAAAATACACCTTAATTTTAAGGTGGTTTATTCGACTTTAATTGTAAAGTCCCTAAGAATTAGCAGTTTGCTAAAGTCCTTAATTGTAAGGAATACTTTAGTTGAATGTGCCTTAATTGTAAGGTAATTGTTTACTGCTAAATATTATTTTAGTAAAATACGCCTTAATTTTAAGGTGGTTTATTGGACTTTAGTCGTAAAGTCCCTAAGAATTAGCAGTTTGTTAAAGTCCTTAATTGTAAGGAATACTTAAGTTAAATGTGCCTTAATTGTAAGGTAATTGTTTACTGCTAAATAATATTTTAGTAAAATACACCTTAATTTTAAGGTGGTTTATTCGACTTTAGTTGTAAAGTCCCTAAGAATTAGCAGTTTGCTAAAGTCCTTAATTGTAAGGAATACTTTAGTTAAATGTGCCTTAATTGTAAGGTAATTGTTTACTGCTAAATATTATTTTAGTAAAATACGCCTTAATTTTAAGGTGGTTTATTGGACTTTAGTCGTAAAGTCCCTAAGAATTAGCAGTTTGCTAAAGTCCTTAATTGTAAGGAATACTTTAGTTAAATGTACCTTAATTGTAAGGTAATTGTTTACTGCTAAATATTATTTTAGTAAAATACGCCTTAATTTTAAGGTGAATTATTCGACTTTAGTTGTAAAGTCCCTAAGAATTAGCAGTTTGCTAAAGTCCTTAATTGTAAGGAATACTTTAGTTAAATGTGCCTTAATTGTAAGGTAATTGTTTACTGCTAAATATTATTTTAGTAAAATACGCCTTAATTTTAAGGTGGTTTATTGGACTTTAGTCGTAAAGTCCCTAAGAATTAGCAGTTTGCTAAAGTCCTTAATTGTAAGGAATATTTAAGTTAAATGTGCCTTAATTGTAAGGTAATTGTTAACTGCTAAATATTATTTTAGTAAAATACGCCTTAATTTTAAGGTGGTTTATTCGACTTTAGTTGTAAAGTCCCTAAGAATTAGCAGTTTGCTAAAGTCCTTAATTGTAAGGAATACTTTAGTTAAATGTGCCTTAATTGTAAGGTAATTGTTTACTGCTAAATATTATTTTAGTAAAATACGCCTTAATTTTAAGGTGGTTTATTAGACTTTAGTCGTAAAGTCCCTAAGAATTAGCAGTTTGCTAAAGTCCTTAATTGTAAGGAATACTTTAGTTAATTGTGCCTTAGTTGTAAGGTAATTGTTTAAAGTAAAATACGCCTTAATTTTAAGGTGGTTTATTCAACTTTAGTCGTAAAGTCCCTAAGAATTAGCAGTTTGTTAAAGTCCTTAATTGTAAGGAATACTTTAGTTAAATGTGCCTTAGTGGTAAGGTAATTGTTAAATGCTAAATATTATTTTAGTAAAATACGCCTTAATTTTAAGGTGGTTTATTCAACTTTAGTCGTAAAGTCCCTAAGGATTAGCAGTTTCTTAAAGTAATTAATTGTAAGGAATACTTTAGTTAAATGTGCCTTAGTTGTAATGTAAGGTAATTGTTTAATGCTAAATATTATTTTAGTAAAATACGCCTTAATTTTAAGGTGGTTTATTCGACTTTAGTCGTAAAGTCCCTAATAATTAACAGTTTGTTAAAGTCCTTAATTGTAAGGAATACTTTAGTTAAATGTGCCTTAGTTGTAAGGTAATTGTTTAATGCTAAATATTATTTTAGTAAAATACACCTTAATTGTAAGGTGATAATTTTCAACGAGTTGAAATTCTTTTCTTAGTCAATGTTCCTTGATTTTAAGGAATATGAGTTCTTTTCTTAGTCAATGTTCCTTAATTTTAAGGAATATGAGATAAAGCTTTAATTTTAAAGCCACTTTCCATATAGACTGTTCTGTTTTGTTATTTTATAAAGTTGTAATATGAATTTCTTTTAGTTTTTAAATCATTTGTTATTTGTTGGTACCTTTCTATGCTTAAACATTTAGTATTTGTTTTATCAGATTGTAAATTCCTTTGCTGTATTGTTTCAATTTGTTTGCATGTAACTTTATTGCATAGATTGTAATATTTTTATGTTCAATCACAGTCATATATTACTATTTTACCAGTTAACACAACAATTAATTTTTCAATATATGCTTAATGTGTATTAATTATATAGTATTATCACATTGATATTTCTCTTATAAATTATATTAATGTCAAGTTAATTTACTCACTCAAGTCTGTTGTTTAAATCCAAATATTTATCATGCCTTTAAAACGAAATTGAACTCAATGATGGTATCCCAGATAATAACTGTAGGGTTTCCTATCCAAACATTGATACAGCTGTTTCATTAGTCAGAGCTTGTGGTCAGTATTCGTACATGATGAAAGTAAACATCAACAATGCTTATCGTATTGCTCCTATACACCCAGATGATTTTGATACTTCTTGGATTCAAATAAATGATAGATATTATTACTTTACCTATGGGTCTGGGCTATTCTTGCGCATTGTTTGACAGGATCAGTTCTGATATTCAGTGAATTGCAGAAAACAAACTTGGTTTATATAATTGTGCACACATTCTAGATGATTTCTTTTTTGTTGGGGACAATTAACAACTGTGTGAAAAAGGTTAACACATTTTCATTGCTGGTGTGCTTTAGTTGGTTTACCAATTAATCATGCTAAAACTTGTCGGCCATGCAGAATCATGTCTTTTGTTGGAATTGAATTGGACTCGGTACTTATGGAGAAAATATTGCCCAAAGAAAAATTTAATAAGATTCGCCTAGCTCTTGACAAATTCAAGCATCGGGAAAAAGCAACTCTCCTTGAACTACAGTCTGTTATTGGTTTGTTTAATTTTGCTTGTGCTGTTATTGTTCCAGGCAGGGCATTTTTACGTCGTATCATTGATCTAACTATTGGTTTAAAGAAATCTCACCATCATAGACAGTTATCAAAAGATTCTAGAACAGATTTTCTGGCATGGTCATCATTCATGTTTCAATTTAATGGCAAGTCGATGTTTCTACCTGACCTTTGAGTCACTTCTGTGTCATTAAATCTTTTCACAGATTCTAGTAATGTCAGATTTGGAGGGTACCTGTCAAACAAATGGTTTTCAGCCAGTTGGCCTAATGAATGGTTGAAATATCACATAACTGTACAAGAACTATTTCATATTGTTTAAGCTTGAAAGGCCCGTGTTAGTTTCACATTTACTGCTGTCTATAGCACATTGCTACAAGTGGGGACTTGTACAGTTGTGTGCTAAAGAATAAGACTGTGGAACATTGGAGCTGCCTCCACTGCAGCGCAACAAGGTTTTTTCAGAAGAAAAGATTGAACTTGCAGGCATATGGTCATCTTGTGCATTTAAAAAGTATATAAGAATTCCTATGTTACAAGTGTAATTAATGGCAAATGGATAGCAGTCCTCTAACAAATGCACAATAAGTTTTTACATGCATTAATTGTAAGCAGCATTCACAAGATTTGTAAAAACAATTTGTTAACTTTGTTGTCATAAGGACAAGGGCCTTTGACATATAGCCATAGTCATTCTGATTTGATTACATTTTCTTTCAAATTAATATGATCTCAATGTACAACTTTGCACAAATAATGCAAATAATTTGTAAACATGTGTTTTTCTAGCATTACAACAGTCACTAAATTAAGTTATGTCATGGGGACAGGGACCTCTGACAGTAAGGTGTTTTCAAACAATATATATTTGTTAAACCATTGTGCCAATTTGAAGTACCTGGAGTTTGCTATTTAACACTTTTTCTTTTCAATCTTTAATATCTTTGCATCAGAATGCACATAATCCTTTTTTATGTATTTTTCAAGGAATGGCGGCAATTATTACAATCACAACATCACTTTCTGTCATGGGGACACGGGCCTCTGACAAAAACTTGTTTTCAAACACAGACACTCACTTGTAAGTTTGTGCCAATAATATGTTATATGTTCATATTACGATATTAGAATTTGTATATCTCTTGTTATGTACATAATGTTCAATTTTAAATTCATGATTATTCCTTTGTGTTAAGGTAAATTAAAACTTCATGTCTTAGGTTAAGATGCCAGCATGGTTATATTTTAATTTGTATCAATTTAAGATCTACTTGGATATTACACATATGGTGATATCAGTATACACCTTTACTCTAAAAAGGTAATCTAAATAAAGACAACATTTATTTCAGTCACAAGTTTACTTTATGTCATGGGGACAAGGGCCTCTGACATACAAGGTACCTTCTAACACATACAGTCAATTAAATCCGTAGTGCCAATAAAAATGTTGTCTTATGTTAGGTAGTTTAGTTATCATCTTGTGATGTACATATTTTTAATATTCTTGTTTATTTCATTAGCATTGTTTCAAACATTTAAAGAATAATTTTGTTTGTCCCCTTTTACATGACTAGTCAATTTCATTAAAGAAGTTTTGGTTGGGGGAATTGTGTTTTACACAATTTGTGGCAATATTCTTAGAACCCAACCTTTGATAATTTTTCGGGATATGTGTGTATATAATTTTATATACATTTTTCAGAAATGTTTGCTTGCTTTGTATACAATTTTATGTTATATTATAACTTTCATATCAGCATTGTTTTATATGTTTATATGTCATTTATTATTAAATGGCCATTTCACAATTTTATGTTAGTTTGATAACTTTCATATCAACATTGTATTATATGTTTTTCCGTCATTTATTATTAAATGGCCATTTCAATTTCAAAGTGTAGTTGTTATTCTTGAAAATTATCAAACAGAGAAAACTTCTTCAGGCAAAGATACAACAAATTGAAATGTTGACATAAAACTTAATTTATTGCAAAATAAATGTTTTTATGGTCACTTACAAGCTTGATGGTGGGTTCCATTAGGTCTTTAGTCATAGGTCTAAATATATTGGGTTCGAAAAAGCCGTACTAGTAAGTACACTAAGGTTATCGTTATGAGTAAGTACAATGTGATAATTGATGCGGATTAAGTCCGCCATTTTAGAAGAAGAAATAATTCATAACAATTTTCAATAACCCACCATCCCACCCACATTCAGTATTCAATTTTTGACAAGCTTATAAACATCAAAAGGTTTTGTGTTTGTTTATAATTTTATATACAAATGGTTTTTCTTTTCACTTCAAGATATGTGTGTATATTAATTTCATACACAGTTTTAGGCAAGGCAATATTCTTAGAACCCAACCTTTGATAATTTTTCGGGATATGTGTGTATATAATTTTATATACATTTTTCAGAAATGTTTGCTTGCTTTGTATACAATTTTATGTTATATTATAACTTTCATATCAGCATTGTTTTATATGTTTATATGTCATTTATTATTAAATGGCCATTTCACAATTTTATGTTAGTTTGATAACTTTCATATCAACATTGTATTATATGTTTTTCCGTCATTTATTATTAAATGGCCATTTCAATTTCAAAGTGTAGTTGTTATTCTTGAAAATTATCAAACAGAGAAAACTTCTTCAGGCAAAGATACAACAAATTGAAATGTTGACATAAAAGTAAAGTTACAAATAATTGTTCTGCAGCAACCATCTTAAGCCCGTCGTGAAAAGAACAGATTACAAGATAAGGAGAAAGAATGTTGATATAACTACGGAGTTCCGGTTTATAGCATCCATGTTTATTAAAACAGCATAATTACAAGTTTATAATCTATAATTAATTCTATCTATTACTGATACATCCGAAGATGACGTATGTATAATAATAATTCATTAGACACCAAAACACATAATCTTTCTATTAAATCGGAAATTGTTAAATGTAGCAATCTCGATTTGTTTATGTTGTGACTTCCTAAATAAACATTTCATATCCTCAATACTATCAGAAGTTGATGTTAGAGATTAACTGTATTACTTTACAAAAGAGAGATCCCTTCAGAGCAGCGAAGTTACAGTTAAATAGGCTAGAATAGAAAATTAATTTAGTTTAAGTTCAAATGAGCCTGAGCGCATTTCTGCAAAAAGAATATCTGTTCAATATGACTGAAAATAATGCATATGTGTTACTTTTACCATATTTAAAATGAATGATCTATAATGGAAGGTTTGAAATACAATGCATAATTATGTTAATAGTATCTAGTATTAAATATAACAACTAACCACAAAATAATTATACATGAAAGTTGTTGGTAAGTGTGAGATATATGTTATCTCACACTGATATATTTACAAAGCAGATAAAAAAGTGTTCTAGAACAGAATATTGTTATTCGTCAAATAAATATTCACTCTAAATCACAAAATAATAAGCAGCAATTGTTTTGTTTCAAGAACATACAAATGATACATTTCTATTGTTTTTATATCGATACCTGAAATACTAATGGAAACTGTGCCATTGTAGACCTCTCCACTTGTTGGCTTAAGCTTCGGAATCATATTTGTTGAGAACAATTCATTACAAAACACAAGTTTATGTCTACGTGCAATATTGTCAAATGATATGGCGCTCTTATAGGTTTTGATGATTTAAGACTTTCATTAGAAAAAAAAACTTGAGATATATATATATATGTATATATATATTTACCGTATTAGGTTCTTCTTTAATCCATTGTCCGTGTTTTAGCAATAAATGCTTATAGATCATGTTTGAAATGTTTCTTTTTTAAACGTACAGATCAAATCAAATTATCCCAATTAACACTGAGATCTCAGACATAAATGATCACAACATTAGTTCAATATTTTTTCTCATTGACGTTGAATTTGATATATCTCGAAACAAAAATGCTGTCACCTTGATATTTGCTTTACGGTTGACGAAGCAGCTTGCTGTTAGCCAATGAAATTGTATGAAGGACTACCGTAAGACAATGTTAAATGCTATATATATATATATATATATATATATATATATATATATATATATATATATATATATATATATATATATATATATATATATATATATATATATATATATATATAACGAGGGTTGTCCCAATATTCTGTGACAAGATTGATTAAAAGCTAAATAAAACAGGTACGAATTTTATATTTTAATATGTTATAAACCCATATAATTTAAACATTTTCACAAATTTTCATAGATAAATATCAACAAACAACACAAATATGCCATAAACACCATGGCAACTAACTGAATCGCGGCGCACGTCCAACGTCAAAGACGGCGTTAAATCTATATAAGGCGCCTTTCTCAAATACTCTCAATGGCTTTCAACGCAATAATGGTACCCATAAATCGTCAATTTCTGACTTAAATCATGTGGTTGTTAATGTCTGTTGAATGTTTGGATGGTATACATTAATTTTTGCTATACGCGAACTTCCGGTCTCGTTACTCCTGTTTTTAGCTGTAGGAAATAGGCGACGAAGATCGGTCTTCCTATCCGTGTTTTTCTTATTTTCGCTTTTTGTAGCGCAAAACTCTGGTTCCGTTCATGCCTTTTGTACACAAATGCTCAGAATATGTTGCTAAACTGTTATATTTGGTATATTTGTTGAAAATCGTTACATGTGTCATCTCAAAATAGTCATGAAACCTGAGTGACATGTTCACTGCGCCGCAAATTCTTCGAACGTCGCCATTTTAACTTTCCTATTTTATATGAGATATTTTCATTTATTCGTATCTTTTTCGTTTTTTAAGTAATTTAACTAAAATTTTCAGAGATGATTTAAACATAGCAGCAGAGGAAGTCTACGTGACATTGTGCAGACACATCATCAGATATTTGAAATATACGTAATTAATTTCAGCCTATTCATAACAAAATGTAAATTATTCGACGTGCGCCGGCAACTCAAACCAATGTCGTTAATACTGAAAATTTTTAAGTAACTAGGGTAAATTTTTTGTAAATGATTTGTTGTTAGTTTAAATAACAAACTTAACGGTTATATGTGTGAATTATTTTCTATTGGCGTTAAAAATGAACCGGCTATAAAATTTGTCACGGACTTTTGGGACAACCCTCGTATATATAAGCCGTGTTTCTATTTAGCGTTGTCATAAACAAATCTTAACGTATACACTCCATTAATCGCAAATAGCTGTAGCCTTTTTTTAGATTTATGCGATAAATCTATTTCAGCAGAAACTTGATATAACTACAAATAACTGTTCAAGCTTGTACCTGTCTTAAGTTATGCATATTTTGATTTAAAGAGCATAATCTTTAGTTCTCACTTAAGCTCATCAATAAAAAAATCGTTTAAAGCTTTTCAATTTTGTTTTACTTTAGCCGTCAGTTGAAGTTAAAAAAAAAAACAGTTTTCATGTAGGACCAAAAAACCTGTACATTACTATATTTTTCTTAAAGTTAAAGTGATATTCAAGATTATGGAGCAGATTTTGCCTTCTACTTTTTAAATAAGTAAGTCTTGTTCTCCACTGCTATTTATGTTTTTTAAATTACTATCGAAATTAAATCACATTCACATGTTAAGACAATTCTCATCGCTATTGTTTTAAGTGCTATGGTAACATATTCTTAGTAATAATGTATTAATTATACAAACAATATTTTTGCCAGGCTTTCTATTTTCTTTAAAGCGCGTGTTTATATCTAGAAATTCTTGTTGTCATGTGTCATCCGTTCTTTTAATTTTTACTGTATAACAGCATTAATATAATTACTGATCTATAGTTTTGTAGTCCGTGTAATAGTTAACAAATGGAATCTTGTCATAAAGAATTCATATATACCTCCCCATTTGAAAAGTACTGTCTGAACATTCAAATAATGAATCACGGCTTCGATAAAATACATTTACAATGTATAATCAATATAGCAACCTATCAAATCCGTAATTAAGTTAGATGAATGCAGATGTAATATTGGTAATTTGAAATGCATGTAAATCTGGGAACCAAGATCTCCGGATATTTTTCGTGAACAATTTTGGTCGATACGTATAGCTGTAAACGTTTCCACTACAAAATAGTGCTCATCAAACGTGGACTACTTAAATATCAAAATCAGACACAGATACTTAATTGAATAAGGCAAAGCCTTCGGACGGTTTCTTTGACAGAATGTTTAATACATAGCATAATATATGTTTTAATTAGCCAAACAAATTGTGCACCAGGGCTTTTGGATATATACGTCTATATAATAACGCTTTGTAAAATCTATCGGTCTTGCCGTCGAAAAATTGAGACTAAATTATTGATGGAAACCACCAACAGCTGCACACTTTTTATCACATTTAGAAGTAATTTTACCTTCGGTTGAATGAATGTTATCCGCTTTACCAAAATTTAACCTTATTTTTTGTCGACTGCAATTTTGTAATAATGTAGAATTTACATTTCATGAAACTATATCCTGTTAAACGTTGCAAAATTCAATAAATCTATTGTTTTGATCTATTTTTATACTATATTGTTTAACTTCAATTTTATATTACATACTATAATATTTATACATTCCTACTGAATATTTGTTCATCATAAATAGATATTTGTGTGTGATAATTCTCTGTATATATGATCGTATATTTGAAAATATGTATTGTACAATAACAAATATTTATTGTCTACTGAAAAATAACTATTCGATAATTTGAATCAAGGGATATGATATTTAGCATATTAAGCGCCTCCTATTAATTAAGTACGAATTTTTGATAAGTGTCTCTGTGAGTGCCACTTGTAAAAAGTGCACATGCATAATCCTCCTTATAAATATATGTATGTCTAAAAATGGAAATAGATTGTCTTCAGGATAAAAAATCGTATAATATTTTTTTTCATTTTCATTCATATGCCTAATATTATTACCACTATTTGAACCTATGATGTCAACAAGGTCGACTTAAGGACCACCATATTCTTGATATATTAGGAATTATATAAGAGGAACAAGAGATCATCTACATGAAAATATACTCTAGGTTTTATAGAAGATGTATGCGAGGGCGATGTATGATAAGCAAAGGATTATCTAGAGGTACATAATTATACTAGTAAAGCGACCAGAGGATCGTGAACAAAAACTATATGTGTTATGGAACAGGTATGAGGGGATCACGATAGGCGACCAGGATATCATGTATATGTACATTTACTCTATTCATTTTGAACCATGTATGAGGATGTCATGTGACCTCACCAGGAGATTATCTAGATGTACAAATACTCGTAAAGCGACCAAAGGATAAACCAAAAGATAAGTTTATTTAATTTTGCAACGTTTAACATACCATAGAAAAGACATAAAATGATGGGTTTATTGTTAGCACATTCTTAATGAGTTGTTTCTTTTATAATATTTATATATTAATGAAGGAAGCCATTTTTTATAAGTTGGATATATTTTAGAGAACATAAGAGATTCTCGTTAGATACCATTCTTGACCACTAAGTGACTATGTGTCGCGTGGCTGCGCCGTGCCTGACCAATTTAAACTAATAATCATATTTATTTATGTTGA